GTCTGGCTGTTCAGTGTCTATGTGTGAGCCTGTTTGTGAACCATCTTCCTGTTCTGTTTCAGTCTGTGAGCGATATTTGGAAATATTTACCTGTTCAGCTTCTATCAGTGAGCTGGGTTATGAACTGTCTGTCCGTTCAGTGGTCACCTGGGAGAATAGTGATGAACTGTTTGTGTTCCCTGCCTCGGTCGTTGAGACCATAAATGCACTGTCTGTTTCCTGTGTCTCAGTTTTCCCCAGGTTCCAGTCTCTGCCATTGGTGTCTGCTCCATTGTGGAGGTCTTCTGCTCTGCCATGGTGGTCTTCTGCTCCATCGTGGGGGTCTTCTGTTCTGCTCTGGTGGTCTTCTGCTCCGCCGTGGGGATCTTTGAACTCTTCTGTTCTGCCGGTCCCGTCGTGGTTCTCTGCTTCGCCAGTTCTGACTCAATCCCAGGGTCATCCATCTCCACATGGACCTGGCCCACCATCCCTCCCCCGGTTCCACATCCGCTCCACCGCCCTCCTGGTTTGTGTAATGTTTGGAGCTTCTGGAAGCTGCTCCTTGGGAGGGGGCTCTGTCACGAATCCGGTCCATGGACTTTCATCCAATGAACACAAGAGGTCGCTCTCTTACCATATTGACACTCACTCCACATAGACTGTCACACATCACTCTGGACTACATCTCCCATGCTCCACTGCACTGATTGCGCACTCACCTGCATCCAATAATACACACTATATAACACTCACTCTGATCCTGCTCTAGTCGCCGAGTATTGTTTTAGCACTTATCGCTCATCGTGTGATAGCTACTTTACGGAGCCATTCTAAATTCCTTCATTTAGTACTGCCTTGTTCTTAATCTGTTTACCCGTGTCTTGATCCTTGCCTGTTATCTCGTTTTGTCTGATCTCTGCCCTGAAGTTTATAGCCTGTTTTGGAATTACCCTTTGCCTTCACACTATATAACACTCACTCTGATCCTGCTCTAGTCGCCGAGTATTGTTTAGCGTATATCCCTGTTTTGCTACCTTATGGAGCCTGCTTAGTTTTCCTAGCCTTTTCTGAGGCTTGCCTTGTCTGTTTTCTCATGTTCTGATCTTTGCCTGTGTACCAGGATTTATCCCTCTAGTCTTACCCTGTTGGGTTACGCTCGCCGTCGATTGACCCTTGCTTGTTTACTGGACTGCTCTTCCCTTGTCTTCTACATACCAGTTTGCCATTGTCTGACCCATGCCTGTTTCTGACCACGCCTTGAAATAACGCTTGAAATTTGGATCCGTACATCTCACGTTTCATTCGCCCTGTAAACTAACCATTTTTCTTCTTGTCTCTCTTAAACATTTGAAAATATGACAGATCTAAGCCATACATCAGCATACACTATTTCATAAAGTCAAAACTTATTGATTCCGCCCATAAAAAAAGTGCATGATACTAATATAACACTGATCAGCATATTAAGTCAAGTCAAGTCACCTTTATTTATATAGCGCTTTTAACAATACAGATTGTGTCAAAGCAACTGAACAGCATTAATTAGGAAAATAGTGTCAATAATGCAAAATGACAATAGTAAACAAATTTTTCAGTTAAAGACAGTTCATCATTGAATTCAGTGATGTCAACATCCAGCTCAGTTTAAATAATATCTTTGCAATCATGTCAAAGATATCGCTGGAAATGAAGTGTCCCCAACTAAGCAAGCCAGAGGCTTATTAGAACGATTTCTGCTGAAAATGTTTTCTTTGCATCACAGGAATAAATAACATTTTAAAATATATTCACATAAAAACTGTTCTTTTAAACTGTAATACTATTTCCTAGTATTAGTTTTTACTGTATTTTTGCTGAAATAAATGCGTGCACACACACACACACATATTTGAATAATTGTATAAAAATAGATCCAGTAGATATACAGTACATTGACGAGACTGGAGCTGAAGTTGGCAGCATTGTTGCTGTATTGATACAGGAGATTGTTTAGTGATATTAGCTCTGAAGCAGATATAGTAAATGTGACTCATGAGATGAAACATAAACGTTGTGTGTCTATGATAGGATCCACAGCAGCAGCAGATGAAAACACTGCTCTACATCTGCTCATCTGATCATTCTGAACATGTGTTTCTACTCTACCTCCATTCAGGAGGTCCTAAAACCCTTTACAAGGCTCAAAATATTTACAATTCACATTTCTTTTTTATATTAATTTGCATTAAAAAGTCTTAAATTTAATTATTTTAAACTTGCAGATACTTTTGTTGCGCAAAAAATATTTAGTGAACAAACAAAAAATTTTTTTTTACATATCATGATTACAGCTATTAATTAATTCATTCAACTGAGTCATTCAAACATGTATTTGCACATGCTGACCCTAGTAAAAAAGAAATGTATTTAAAATACATTTATTTCATACTAAGTATAGTTCAAATCTATTAACATATTTACTGACAGATAACTTGAGACTTAGGGCCAGTTTTACTAACAGCTTGCGCCAGCGCAAACCGTCTTTTGGCATTCAAATAGTACTGTCAGGTTTTACTAAAGACGCGCAGTGACGAATTAGCACAGAAAAGGCTTGGACAGTCATTTTTGCGCCTGACCTTATTGAAAATGCATTTCTAGGCGTATCCCCTTCAGATACAAAATTTATGGGAGGAGAGTATTCAAATGAATCACGCAACGCATTTTACTAACGTTTATGCTCGTCAAATTACTGGCATTTGCACCATTATTTAACGCCCCAGAAAAGCATGTCGTAAATTTTTGCACCTTGAAATGGATGCAATTTGTTGCTAGGAGAAGGCACAGCAGAGAACAGAGAGTGCATGGTAGAAGGGAGAGGATTTTTCCACACGTATTCATTTATTTGGAAAGAACACATTATCTAAACATATCGTTTGCCAAGCCATGTTATTTTTAATTAGGAGTCATGCAATACCAGCTCTATCAAAACTGTTGCAACCCTTCACTTTTTGTTTTTTTTCAACGTACTGTGGCTTATTTATTTCTTTATTGTTTATTTGCGACTACGCTAATTTGCGTTACGCTTGATATATTGCGTTGTTCGCAATATATTGTATTGCGTTGTGTTGTTGTAATTGTATTGTTGTATTGCGTCTGTGTTGTTTAATTTGCGCATTGTTAGTAAATCACCCACAGAAATTTCCACGCCCAGCTGCGCTGTTTAGGAATTGCACTCTCACCCTAATTTGCCCTGTTTAGTAAAACTGGCCCTTACTGATATAAAAATTATAATTAAATTTTATTCAGTATACTACTTGTGCACAATGCACATTTTTAATATGGAGGGCCCTATCACACACCTGGCGTAATGCGGCGCAAGGCGCGGCGAAAGTGTTTTTGCTAGTTTCAGCCCGACGCAGTTCTCATTTGCCAGTCCTGCGCCACGTTGTTTAAATAGCAAATGCATTTGCGCCCATGGGCGTACTGGTCTAAAAAAGAGGTGTGTTCAGGCGCATTGTTGGCGCGTTGTTATTTTGAGGCAACTGAAAATAGACTGCGCCATAGACCAACTCAAACCTGGTCTAAAGTCAATATTTTTTCTTTGTTATTTAAAGAGCGCGTTAGTAATATGTGCCTATAGGCAGGTGCACAACACGCGTACACTTTGCTTATTACACACACAGGGACGCACAGCAGCACACACATTTTTAAATATGAAAAATTACATTCCGCCATGTAAATAGCAAACTCGCCATGGCGTGAGCGCAACTGGCTTTTATGGGGGATGGGAGATGAGACCCTGATTGGTTTATTACACGTTACGCCCAAAAAACGCCAATTACTCATTAAGAGAGTAACGTAACGGGACAACCCGTTTAGACCATGCGCGCCGACCGTTTTCCCGTCGTTAAACTAGCAAAAGTGGATTCGGACACGCCCTAAGTGCACCTGCGCCATGTGCTTTAGACCATGCGCTTAGATTGTTAAAATAGGGCCCTAAGTCTAAAATGTGTTTTAATGTCACTTTTGATGAGGACTGTATGATCTTTGAATAATATTGGTCTTTAAATGCTAAATATTAAAAGTGTATCTGAAGTATACTTGCTATAGTTCCACTTTAGCACAATCAAATATACTTCAGTATATTTTTAATTGGACCTCAGCACTACTTCTGCACAATTAAAGTGCATTAAGTACAAAATAAGTTGTTCCAATTTAGCAGACTTTAAGTATACCAGTTTAGTATACTAAAAGTACAATTGCATGGCATTTTATTAAGTACATAAATATGAAAATGTATTTGTAGTATACTTAGCATAAAATACACGTATTTCAAATGCATTTATTTTTTTTTTCACTAGGGGAGGCTTGACTGAATGTTTTGAAATTAGGTAAAAACATTGTGATTGTGCACAATGAATTATCACTACAGGTACACCAACAGAAACAGAACAGAAACTGACCACTAAAATGATTTAGAAAGCTAATTCTGCTCATTTGAGCTTTTTTATTTCCCTGATGATTCAGAAAAAAACATTTCTAATGTGTTAGATTTGCATCCTTTTTAATGAATGCTGTGTGTGGGGGGTATATTTTGAGCACAAATTGCTCTCCGGTCTCAAGAAGTGAGCTAAATCTAAAGCCCTCAATCACAAAAACCATTCATGAATGAAATACACACATTTTGTCTTAGGATTTGGGTTGAAGATAATTGTAAAAGATAATTGTAATGATCTTTCTATAAAAACAATAGACGTCTATGATATGTCTTCATTTAGCTATGTGTGTGTGTTTCTGGCTCGCTGTATTGATTCATGTCTAAAGCAGAGACGAGGATCGATACACTGAAATGGAGATTCCAGCACTTGATTGGAGTTTTTTTTATGATTAATCTAGGTAGAGATACAGCAGGTATGAAGCAGAAAGGATGGTTAGAAGAGCGAGATAGAGGCGAGACTACAGGGTCAGGTGGATAAATGGATAAAAACCACAGAGAAAATAGTTGTGAACAAGAAACACACATTTCTGCTGAATCTTCTTACCTTGGTCTTGTGCTTTGTTGGGATTCCAGGCTCTGAAGTAATCGTCCTACAGAAATACACAATGGCACACATTTAAAATCCTCAGACAGACACAAGTCGAGCTTCTAGGCTACCGTCACGACTTTCAGAAAGAAGAAAATAGCTTTATGATTGAAGGACAGTGTGAAATAAGACAGAGATGATGACTTCTGGTCTGACACTGAGATAAGTGTACAGACAGACTGTTTGCTGATGTTTTTAATGAAAGCTGTATAGTAAATGGACTGTCTGCGGAGGCATTCGCTTCAATGATTGAGGTAAACTCAAGTCATTCTCCTTCTATCGCAGGGCTCTTTTCCCACGCTATTTTTTTGGATGTGAACCAGTCAGTGGTGTCTGCTGCTTTTCAGTTTTTAGTGGTTAAATGTTCACCCAGATATATTTGATTATTTTGGTGTCCGCAATATTGCTTTAAAAAACTACTACTAAACAGTGAATTTTCTTGACCAGAAACAGCGGTTTTAAAGTATATTCACAAAGTTGCAGAAGTTAAAAAGAAAAACAAATTCTACTTTTTCCTGCATCTCAAGCAATACAAAACAAAGATGATTAAAAAAATTAATTAAATAAAAATGTAAAAATATCAAATCTAATTATTTTGGTGTAAATTTACTTGGGAAAAACTGATTCACAAACTACTACTAAACAGTGAAATTACTGTAGTTTCAAAACTACAAGATAACATTTTTTTAAAATAAAATAAAAGGGGGCAGTCATGGCCTAATGGATAGAGAGTCGGACTTGTAACCTGAAGGTTGTGGGTTCGAGTCTCAGGTACGGCAGGGATTGTAGGTGGGGGGAGTGAATAACCAGCGCTCTCTTCCACCATACCACGACTGAGGTGAGACCCTTGAGCAAGGCACTGAACCCCCAACTGCTACCCACTGCTCCGGGTGTGTATGTTCACTTCGATGGGTTAAATACTTGGCCACACGTCACTTCACTTTCACTAAAATAAGTGATGGATCACCCAAAAATGAAAATTCTGTCATCATTTACTCACCCTCAATTGTTTCAAACCTATATGAATTTCTTTCTTCTGTTGAACACAAAAGAAGTTTTTTTGAAGAATGTTGGTAACCAAACAGTTGACGGTAGCCATTGACTTCCATAGTGTGGAGAAGCAGAAAAAACTATGGAAGTCAGTGGCTACCTTCAACTGTTTGGTTACTAAATTCTAAAATTGAGGGTGAGTAAAGCATGGCAGAATTTTCATTTTTTGGGTGAGCTATCCCTTTAAATATAATTTTTTAAAAGATCAGTTTATTTTGGTGTCTGCAATGTTGCTTCCAAAAAAACTACTTCTCAAACTACTACTAAACAGTGAAATTACTGTAGCTACAAAAGAACAAAAAAGTTAAAGTGATAGTTCACCCAAAAATGAAAATCCTATCATCATTTACTCACCCTCAAGTTGTTTCAAACTTGTATGAATTGTATTTCTTCTGTTGAACACAAAAGAAGATATTTTGAAAACCAATATGTTGGTAATCAAACAGTTGATGGTAGCCATTGGCTTCCACAGTATGGAGGAAAAAAAATCTCAAACTGAGTGTGAATAAAAGATGGCAGAATTTTAATTTTCTAGGTGCGCAAGGGATAGATAAAAAAAATTATAATTTGATTATTTTGGTGTCTGCAATGTTGCTTCCAAAAACAACTTCTTAACACTATTACTAGACAAAATTACTTTACCAGGAACTGTAGTTGTAAAAGTACAACATAAAAATGCTAAATTATATGCGTTACAGCAGCCTTTATCTGTATCTCAAGCATATTTGATTTACCAAGCCTCTTTAGGTGCTGCACGGTGATAATGCGGTGATAATGCATTTAAACCATTTTTCTTCTCATCTCTCTTAAACATTTGGGAATATGACAGATCTTAGCCACACATCAGCATTTCATAAAATCAAAACTTATTGATTCCACCCATAAAAAAGTGCATGCATTTGGTTAATACTAAATGCAAAAATGTCACAATACACAAAATAAAATAAGGTCAGTATAAAGTAAAAAAATTAAAAAAAAAAAAAATTAATAATACAATACATTAAATAATATAATAACTAACACTTGACTGATAACACTGTTAAAAAATACAATATAAATATAAATGTAATAATAATAATAAACTTTTTATAAACTACTGATTTTACCCATCAATAAAATAAATTTAATTTAATAATAAAACAAAACAAAAATTGTTTATATAAATATTTTAATTTATATAAATTGTATAAATTAAATAAATAATGATAACACTTGACAGATAACTCTTATCAAAAAGTATACATCGCATGCATAATTATTAGGCACGTTGATATTCTGATCATATTTTTTTCCAAGCACATTTTACCAATTCCAAACCACATCAATCTTAATAACTACTATTAATTTTGTATTTAATCATTTATAAGTGATATATAATTGTCCATGAAGGCTGGGAGTGAAAACTCCTTATATTCAGGTGTGCAGAATTATTAGGCATGTTTTCTTTTACAGATGAAATGAGCCAAAAAAAGAGGTTTAACTCAGAATGAAAAGTCTAAAATTACTGCTCCTGAAACGTACTGCCAGATCCTGGAAAACATCAGAAACCATCAGAAAACATTTAGTCTCCAGCGCCACCATTTTCCAGAACTGCAACCTTCCTGGAGTTTCCAGAATTACAAGGTGTCAGGTTCTCAGAGACTTTGATTAGGTAAAAAAATCCTAAAAAATGACCCTTACTTAATAAGAATAACATGCTGAAGTATTATGAAATACATTAAGACTATTTTTTAATAGGCTTCATCGACAGATAAGTTGTGAGTGACTCTTGAAGGACCAGCACCACATCCTCTTGTACCACTGTTTGAAGGATTTATCTTCCAGAATCTGGCAGCAAGCTTTAGGAGCAGTCATTTTTGACTTTTCAGTCTGAGTTAAACCTCTTTTTTGGCTCATTTTGTCTGTAAAAGAAAACATGCATAATAATACTGCACACCTGAATATAAGGAGTTTTTCACTTCAGGTCTCCATGGACAATTATATATCACTTATAAATGATTAAATACAAAATTAATAGTAGTTATTAAGATTGATGTGGTTTGGAATTGGTAAAATGTGCTTGGAAAACAATATGATCAGAATATCAACGTGCCTAATAATTATGCATGCGGTGTAATATAAACTTAATAATAAAATAAGTAATAATTAAAAAATAAATTAAATAAATCAAATCACAGGTCCCATAACTTCTGACTGTTTTATGAAGTGGAATAATGACAGCGAGTGCAAGATCTGATTTTCATCTCAGCGACAGACTAGTCACACAACATTAGCGACGGCTGCTGCATTATAAGGGTTTTTCAAATCCGATTGCTAACACAGTCCTTTCCCAAAGTGGTGCCGCTACGGGCTGGATAAACAAATCTTTGACATCAAACTCTCATTAGGGGCTCTTTAGCTTCGAGCAGATTGATGTTTTAGTGTAAAATATGTGGTTAATTTAAATAAAGAATGTAATTAAAAACAATAACTTGTGTGAGAATAAGTTACATCTGTTTGTAAGCTACAGAAGACATCTATCATTCCGGTGTAAACATCTATAAGCTACGGCTCTCAGGCCGTGAGCGAAAGCCAGGCTGTAATTCTGCTCAAAGTTTACGGTGGTCTCAGCAAAACTAGGCCAAATGTGTCTGTGGGCTCATAGCTCCAAATCAAAGGGGAATTGAGGGGAATGTGAAACTCATTTTACCCTCAGAATGACAAAACCTTAGTCTGCAAATCTGCGTGATGAAGCAGAAGCCAGCAGACCTTCTCCAGCCCGCAAACTCTCACAATCGAACATCGCTGTTGTAACCTTTATCCACAGCAGAGAAACTTCTCTCTGTGGAAATCATGACCTTTGCGAGTTGTCTTTGAATGAACGCTTCGGGTTCAATACAAGTTAAGATTAAAACAGTTTGTAAAAGCGAGCAGAAATGTGTTTACAGTAATGAACATTCAGCATCAGGAATCAATGGTGCGCAATATGTATCATCAATTATATTGCAATTTTTGTTTTGCTATTTTATATAGCACTCATTTAGCAAAAAAAATGTTTTTGAATAATTTTTATAGAAATATCTATATGATATATTAAAAAAGGATATAGTTTCTACATGATATTGTTTTGATAATGTGATACTGAAGTTCAATATACAAGTTAATATTGCGAGTTGAATTTTAGACACGATATTGTTTGTTTTTGCTGTATTTTACCAATGAAAATAGTTTCAAACAAAGTTTAGATACTGAATGAATAAGCATTTTTGAACAAATCAATGATTCATCCATAAAGAGTCACTTGCTTTGTTTCTGAATGAATCAGTCATTTGAACAAATCAGTTGAATAAATGACTCACTCATTAAATGTTTCTCACCGCCACCTGCTGTTGGTTTTAGTTTCATATTCAGAGTATCATTTCGTTTTGAAGGAACCATTTCCTCTTTTAATATTATAAATATTATTTATAAAACTTAAATTTAATAGGAGTATCCATGCAATTGTAATTGCAGTATCAGTGCTACATTAGATCCTGCTTCTGTATCACTTCTGCAGTGAAAAAAACAAAGTTTAGATACTGAATGAATAAGCATTTTTGAACAAATCAATGATTCATCCATAAAGAGTCACTTGCTTTGTTTCTGAATGAATCAGTCATTTGAACAAATCAGTTGAATAAATGACTCACTCATTAAATGTTTCTCACCGCCACCTGCTGTTGGTTTTAGTTTCATATTCAGAGTATCATTTCGTTTTGAAGTATCATTTCATTTCCTCTTTTAATATTATAAATATTATTTATAAAACTTAAATTTAATAGGAGTATCCATGCAATTGTAATTGCAGTATCAGTGCTACATTAGATCCTGCTTCTGTATCACTTCTGCAGTGAAAAAATGGATTTTGTTGATACTGATTTCATTTGACTGTCTTATTATTCAAACTGAATTGTTTGAATTTGACATAAAAGATGA